GGAGGGCTCTGGCTGGAGGGGCGTGGCTCTTCAGTGGGGTTGGGGTGCAGGAGAGGGCTGTGGCCGGAGGTCCGGGAGGGGGCGTGGGCTTCCAGTAACATTTTCCACAGCTCCCAGGAAATAGCCACCAGAACCAGTGGAAAACCGTATGGTGCCCTCACAGCTGCAGGCTCACCCCTCACCACTCCCATTAGTTGCATTTCCCAGTACTTGGGCTGAGACCAAAGCGTGGACCCTCTCAGTTTCTGGCCACCCTAATGGCTGGGAGGTCACAGGAACCTGGCAGCCCTTTCTGGAAGCCTACAGAACCAGGGTAGGCAGGGTCCTTTTCAACCAGGTTGCTAGTTGAAAACTGGATCCCTGGCAATTTTACTTCTCCCCTATGGCCAGTGTCTTCTGTAAGATGGTGGTAGAAATGTAGCTGTGTTAGTCTGGTGCAGCAGAAACAAAGCTGGCCCACGAAAGCTCATCACTTATTAAACCATCTTGTTAGTCTTTAAAGTGCTACACAGTCCTGTTTTTTGTTTCTTCTGTAAGATGAGCGCTTAGGTGGCCACCCAAGAGAGATTCAGCTTCTGTCTAGCTGATTGGCAGAGCGCCCACAGCCAGCACCATGGCTGTGTCTAAACTGGCCAGTTTTTCCGGAAAATCAGCCGCTTTTCCGGAAAAACTTGCCAGCTGTCTACACTTGCCGCTTGAATTTCCACAAAAGCACTGACTTCCTACTGTAAGAAATCAGTGCTTCTTGCAGAAATACTATGCTGCTCCCATTCGGGCAAAAGTCCCTTTTGCGCAAAGCTTTTGCGCAAAAGGGCCAGTGTAAACAGCTCAGATTTGTTTTCCTCAAAAAAAGCCCCGATCGTGAAAATGGTGATCAGGGCTTTTTTGCGGAAAAGCGCATCTAGATTGGCACGGACGCTTTTCTGCAAAAAGTGCTTTTGCGGAAAAGCGTCCATGCCAATCTAGATGCTCTTTTCCGAAAATGCTTTTAACGGAAAATTTTTCCGTTAAAAGCATTTCCAGAAAATCATGCCAGTCTAGACCATGTGTTTCTGATGGTGGTGTACATCTGCACATGCCTTGGTTCAGATAGCAACGTTTATTCCACACATGTATAGAAAAAAAATTAGAGGGAATATTGCCCATGTCCAAGCCAGCTGTGATATTATGCACCTGGTGGCCAGTGCTTTGGAGGGACCCGGACTAGTGAGAAGAGGGGACCTATAATATTAAGCAGAGCTGCTCAATTTTTCTTCCCTCCAAACGAAAATCAATCCAGCATCTTCTGAAACATTTTGAAAAACTTTTTTTCACATCTCTAACAATTCACATTTTACTTTTTTCCCTATTGGGAAAAATCAGGGGAGTTAAAAAGATTAGCCACTTTCACTTTTTAAACCTAATTAAAAAATCCCACTTTCTCACAAGTATAGAAAGACCACCATCAGGTAGGTAGGCCAGTTGGCTCAAAATGAATAGGTCATAGATGTCTTTCGTGTTCTTAAGCCACAGCTCCTTGCTAATAATGAGGGAGTTTGCAGCCTACTCGGTTTCATAGAGAGCCCTTGGATTCAGCAGTGCAAAAAAAAGGTAACCTTAAATTGGTAGCTGAGGAGTTCCTTGGTGCAGAGAAATCCATGGGTGGTTTATTCTCAATATAAACACTGCTGTCTAGCTCTATTGTGCGTGAAGGGGCATGGTCAGAGTATACTGCAGTCCGGCAATTCCTAAGTCTCATGAAAGTCTCAGAGGACCATTACCACTGATGCAAGATAGAACAGCCCCATAGCTCTTGGTAAGGTTGCCAACTGCCCATCTGATCAAAAACACATTGGCAGCTCCGATCAGCACCACTAACCAGGCTGTTAAAAGTCCAGTTGGTGACAAAAGGAGGAGGAGAGGCTTTGTAGGAGCTCTGTGGAACTTGGAGGTGGTGCAAACCCTAGTGGGCAGGGGACAAAACCCAGCAGTGGGGCTAAGAAAGGCAGATGGATGCAGGCTGAGGCCAGCAAGGTTAACCATAGACAGCAGCCACAATGATGGAGCAAGCATTGTAGCCTTTAGGAAATGCTTTCAATCCCCTTCCTGCCCAGCCCACTGGAAGAAAGAGAGGAGCCATCCTGGCTCCCCGTGGTGAGCATGCATCTGGCGTCAGGGGAGGAAGTCGGGGTGGGCTGCCACCACCTATTCTGTGGGCTGTTGTGCCAGGCTTGTCTCAAGACCATGCAATCAGCATATAAGGGGCTATGGGCTTGTCACGCCTCCCACAGATAAATGGGCGGTGCAGAGGCAACATCAGGCTGCTTGCCGCAGGATCAGGTTTGAGCATAACTTCAAAGTAATTCTGGATTTGTATAACTTATTATGTCATGCGTGTCAAAATTTCATAGACTACACCATTTCAATAATCAAAGATTTTGTGAAACTCCATGCTGAAAGGAACTGAGATTGAACCCAAGCATGACTTTCTGACAGGAATGCAAAACACCCAACTTTTTCCAAAAATCAGTCCTCAAAATATTCAGTAATCCCCTAAAACTGAACTATTTGACTCAGTTAATTTATTATTTAAGAGGATTCTCACTAAATTACTCCACGATTGAATTAAGGCTCATATGGTCGTATGCTAATTCCATTTCATATTGCTTCTTTTTTTAATTCTTCAAGGTACTGAATCTGCCCTTTAAATTTCATAGTTGTATTTCTCCTTTTATATAGCTATCTTTATGTTGTGTATAATTCTAATATATTTAAAAACAAAAATGCAATGTGCTTGATTTAAATATCAACTTTATTTTAAAGCTCATTATGCATTACTTTGAGTTTTATATTTGAATTCAAGATGATTACTGAGGATGCTACAGTTTTTCTAGGAATTTTTAATATCTCCATTGGTGAGGCAAAAAATAAAGTCTCCCTTTAAAAAATAAGTCATGAACAAGCCAGAATCCTATTTTTTCCAATGATAACTCATAAATTGATGGCCAATTGATGTAATTTACAACTGTTATTTTGAGTCATAATATTGAGATTTATCAACTTCATTCTCAACTTTAAAATAAAGACAGTCTGAGGAAAAAAAGTATGCTAAATAGATGTTATTAATTTAAGATAAAGGAAATAAAATCTCAGCAAAAAACACAGAATCTGTAGACTAATAGTTTGGTTCTAATCTAAAAGCATAGCTATAATTCAGTCATATTGTATCATGAGTCATGAGCACAGTTTAAGGGTTTTCTAAGCAGCTACAGAAATTTCAATTGAGTTATGATGATATTGTTTTCAAATAAACTAATACTGTTTATAACATGGATAAGAATTATTAAAAGCTGTCAATCTTCAGATTGATTAATAGTAAAATTAATCAAATAGGAAGTAAAGATTATTTTATCTGACGTAGAGTAACATAATAGAGTATGATAAAGCATCTGAGACTATCATGCAGATTTAAACAAAGAACTAATTACATGGGTACCATGGTAAACATAATTCCTCAAAGTACGTCAGACTTTTCATGCTTCTAGCACATCATTGGTTGAATTGTAGACCTCCAATACCATTTTATTTCTAGATCATAATACAGAGTAATGGTTTCTTCTATCCAAAGTGAAAGTCCGGTAGTGATGGTAGGAAAGTTTATTCATGCAGACCTCCAGCTTAATTTCAGAAAGCACCTCTCAATTTTTTCCAGAGAAATATATAAGATTTATTATTGAATAAAGACTGTTTTGATTGTTTGTCAGGGTACATTTCTGTGTACTGTAATAATTTATTTAATCATATTCCTCTTGATGTTTTATTCTGTTACTCCTTTTCATATAAAATTAGCTTTAAAGTAATGTGTCCCTTATCTCAAATGTAATTTTTGAAATTATTTAACATGACCTGGTATAATGAAGAAATGTATTGTAATAGTATATATTATGTACATAATAGATATCTGACTCAGGTTTGTAGTGTAACAGCCAGAAATTCATAGTTGATACCAATATAATTTGGACAAGAAAATACCCTTTATTACAGATTTTTACTGAATATTTAGTTCTATTTTGAACATTGAGCTGCAACTGCTAAATGGGCAGATGATGCACTCAGCGAAAATTGAGCACGTTCTGCCTGCTCCACTGCATTATACCAGAAGAACAAAATGTAGAAATAAGAAAGCAGTGGCAAAGGCTTTGGAAAGACAATGAAAATTACCTTTCTCTTATTACTATCCATTTTCATGTTTTTCCATCCATTTGCTCTTTTCTTGGTTTGTTAAAGAAAAAACAGCCTCTATAGAGTTGAAAAAATAAAAATAATATAGGGCTGTGTCTACACTGGCCACTTATTCCGGAAAAACAGCCACTTTTCCGGAATAACTTGCCAGCTGTCTACACTGGCCGCTTGCTTTTCCGGAAAAGCACTGACGATCTACTGTAAAATCATCAGTGCTTTTCCAGAAAAACTATGCTGCTCCCATTCGGGCAAAATCCTTTTCCGGAAAACTGTTCCGGAAAAGGGCCAGTGTAGACAGCACAGATTTCTTTTCCGCAAAAAAGCCCCAATCGCAAAAATGACGATCGGGGCTTTTTTGCGGAAAAGCGCATCTACATTGGCAAGGACACTTTTCCGGAAAAGCATCCTGCCAATGTAGACGCACTTTTTCCGGAAATACTTATAACGGAAAACTATTCCATTTTAAGCATTTCCGGAAAAGAGTGCCAGTGTAGATGTAGCCTAGATGTTTTGTGGGAGATCTATGGACTACTTAGGCCAGGTCTACACTAAAGGGGAAAGTTGAATTAAGATATGCAACTCCGGCTACATTAATTACATAGCTGGAGACAATGTACCTTAATTTGAGTTTTCTCGGGGGAGCGGGGGGGTCTCCACTGCAGGAGGTCACTGGGAGCAAATGCTCCTATCAGCTTCCCTTACTTCTCACAAGAAACAAGAGTACCAGCACTGACAGGGGCGCCCTCTGAGTTTGATTTAGCTAAATTAAATGCTGGAAGATTGATCGTGAAAGAGTCACTATTCAACATAGTAAAAATATGGCCTTCCCCTTAGTGAAGACAAGTCTGCCACTTCTAAAAAGATGGAGTACACATCAGCCTGTTAGGTGGATGAAAAATCACACTTTGCTATAATAAAACAGCATTGTGATAGTTTAAGAACAGAGATTTAAGTGGTACTAAGCAAGAGAAAAAGATATAGGTATTAGTCGCAAACACAACATTTTTTCTAGTGACTAAAACTTAATCTTAGCAAGGTATATCTTTGTCTAAAACAGTTTCTCAGAGCAAGTTATCAGCATCTTGGGCTGAAGGGAAAAAAAGATCCAACTTTCACAGGTTCAGAGGATGCTGTTCCATATGCTCCTCAAATGATAGATAACTAGAATGTCTTTCCGCTCCCCTCATTTTACAAAGTCCATTGTCTTTGGCCTAAGAGCCAGGAAGATTTCCAGAGGTGCAAACTCTGTCCCACAATATTCTCATCAAGCTGTCGCTTGTTTACTAGGAATGTTAGATAGCATGTAATTGAATAATTGTGTAACTGCATCACAATTTACCAGTTACATGACTATTCAATAGTCCCCGGGGTTGGGGCCCACAGCCAGTGCACTCTTGGCCCCACTCCCAGAGAGCCCCCTGCCACTCTATGTTGCTGCCTTTCAATCAGAGGTGGCAGTCCAGGATGGCAGGTGGGAGCTGGTCTGCTGATAGAGGCAGCAGCAAGGGGTGTCAGCAGCCCCTGTCCACAGGGCACCTGAGCTCCATGCAGAGAAAGGCTGCTCCACAGCAGCAGCCCCTGTCCATGGGGGTCAGAGCTCCCCGCAGACAAAGGCTGCTCCATGGGATGCAGAGCAGCCTCTGTCTGCAGTGAGCACTGTAGACAGAGTCTGCTCTGCAGCAGCCTCCCATGTCCTCCACCCGTGCTGCTGCCTCAAAAAAAGTAACTACAGTTGTTGCAGAACACAGCAGCCTAGTTGCCAGGCTGCTTAGCAACAGAGGCTTCCAGGAGTACATCACCTCAGTATTTCATTGCTCTACTTACTGACCGCCTGTTGAATACTGTGATAGATTCAGTGTTTGGGCCCTATATGGAATTTACCCAAATTACCTAAAAGGCTGCTTCACTCTATTAGGTCATGACTTCCCACAACTATCTTCTACTGCAAATTTAACCTCTTATGTGCAGTACACAGAACTTTCTTAGCCACTGGCCCACAAATCTAGAATTCACTCCCAGAAGATAACAGGATATTCATAAACAATAGTATTCTCAAGGCAAAATGAAAAATGTGCTGCTTTGAACAAAATTTTCTACACTAGTATCACATTAAACATAACAGGTCTCTCCGTAATTGATTTGACAACGGAAAGCGAGAAATATCTTTATGTATACATTATCATTTTGGGAGGTGTTTACATATGATAACAGAGGGCCATATAAATAGGTACTGTGACAAAGCTCCCAACTTGTCTCAGTAGATCCCACTCTTCCAGACAGATTATGCTTTCCTCAGAGGCTCACTGTGACCCTAAATGTAGCCTCTCTCTCTCTCTACAGGCAAGGGTCATAGCCTATTGTGCCACATCCATCATAGGCCAGCAAGGAGATTGGTGGGAGAACTCCTAAAGTCTCTGTCATTCCTTCAGGCTTAGTAGGAACAGTTTAGCCTCCTGTCTTAACAGGGGCCTGTCTCCCCTCTCAAGGGGTTTTACTGTAGTGGATCAGGAACGGTTGAGGAAACCCAAGAACACCACCTATTTCAGGTTCTTGCCCAGAAACCCTGATAGCAGCAGCTATTGGCAGCTTTCTGTACTATGACTGGGACCTCTTAGAGCTCAGGTAATAGGGATGATCTGTCGTTCACTCTCCTGTTCCTGGATCAAAAGAAGGCATTCAATGGGGTGGACCACAGATATCTCCTGGGCACTCTGCACACCTTCAGCTTTAGGCCCCGTTTCGTGAGCTTTCTCCATGTGCTGCATGCCTCTGCGGAGTGTTTGATCAGGCTCAACTGGATCCTGACTGAGCCAGTCAGCTTTGGGGGGGAATACATCAGGGGTGTCTAAGGTCAGGTCAGCTGTACGCTCTGGCAATAAAGCTCTTCTTCTGTCTCCCCCATCAGAGGTTGATGGGTTCAGTGCTTTGAGAGCTGGAGCTGCATCTGGTCCTGTTGGCGTATGCTGCTGATGTGCTCCTTGTGGTCCAGGACCCAGGTGACCTTGTGTGAATGGAGGCTTGCCAAGCCATATACTCAGTGGCCTCCTCTGCCCAGGTCAACTAGGTCAACAGCTCTGGCATGATGGTTGAGGACTGGTGGCAGGCAGGCCCCCTTCCACACATGCTTCTGGCCATCAGGTAAAGCACAGGTCCGCTGCTTTATCTTGGCATACACCTTTCCATCACACCTCCATCCCCGCCAGAGAACTGGCAGGGTTTGGAGGCCAGAGTGGGTGAGCGGCTGTAGAGATGGACAGGACTGCTCCAGTGTTTCTCCCTGCAGGTAAAGGCACTGGTGCTGAACCAACTGGTCCTGTCCATCCTCTGGCACCAGCTCAACACCCTGAGCTCAGCCCCAGAGGTCCTAGCCCAACTCCACAGGATAGCTCTGGAATTCTTTTGGCCAAGACTGCACTGGCTCTCTGCAGGGGTCCTGTGCCTCCCCCTGAAGGCGTGGGGACAGCGCTGGTGTGAATGCACAGCCAGGTCCATACCTTCTGCCTCCAGGCCCTGTAGAGACTCATGCAGGTAGTCCAGCGTGGAGCACATTGGTGCATGCCTTTCTCTGCCACCTCCAAGGGCTCCAATATGACCAGCAGCTTTTTTTCTCCACCTGATGGGCTTCTGCAAGACCACTCAGAGCTGCCAAAGTTCTGCCAGGAACTCCTGCAGACCTGGAAGCTGTTCACGGTGACCAGGTCCATAGTGGCCACTGAGGGGGTAGGTCTCCTTGCAGAGCCCCTGCTCCGTAATCCAGCCTTGTGTATACAGGTGGCAGAGACTCCCTCAGTGCATGGCAGAGATCACCAGAGTTGTACAAAAGGGGGGATTGGGTAGATCCCCAAGCGCTCACTCAGCACATGGGGCTCCACCCTTCAAATCCCCCTGTGCATACTCCAAGAAGTAAAGGTGGCTTTGTTGCAGCCCATTCTTGATTTCCTGCAGCAAGCCCTGTGAGAGGGTATGTCCTCCCCCACTGCAAGTCCTCTGTCCCTTTTTCTTAGGCCCTTGTTCTGCGGGGCCCCCTGGCCTCCCCATCCCTGGACCACCAGCCGACTGCAGTATCTGCAGCCTGTTTGCTTTTGAACTTGTGCCCAGGGACAAACTGTATGTGCTCATGCTCCACAGGCTGTATTTCCTCACCCTTTTGTCCTGACCGGACACTAAGTGATGGGACTACTTGACACCTGTTGAGGGTGAGGAACCCCAGTGGGCCAGTGTATATTCCACCTTGATCCCATGGCTGATCGGGGACATCAGTTGGTGGCTCTTCCATGGAGCCGTGAGCAAGGTCGTGTACTTGGCATGGTTCACCCCTGTCCCTGACGCCTGTCCCTTCTGTGACATGAGGGAAAACCTGGCACACGGCTACCTTGAATGCACCAGATTGCAGCCCCTTTTCCAGCTCCTCCAGAATCTCCTGCTGAGGTTCTGACTCCACTTTTCCCCACACCTTTTTCTTTATGCACACTCCATCCGTGGCCCCACTAAGTCACAAAACCTCCTCATCAACGTTCTTCTGGCCCTGGCAAAAGCTGCCATCTATCGTACCAGGAGGAGGATGTTGGACGAGGGGATGCTCTGTGACTGTGGGGCCTATTTCTGCTCCTTCCTTGTCTCATGCATCCGGGCAGGGTTCCTCTAGGCAGCATCCACTAGCTCCCTGGACAGCTTCAAGGAGCAGCAGGCACTGTCCAAGGTTCTCTGCTCAGTATCTCCTTCCAGTTCTCTGGTTTTAAACCTATGACCCACACCCCTGATCCTCTTTTTCATCATTTGTCTCCCGTAATCAGTTGAATTCTGGGTCCAGTGGTCCTTTCCGTAAGGCTGGGGGAGGGGCCTTTAAAAGTGGGCGGGTTTGTGCCCAACCACCTCCCATATTTCAAGTAGGTTTTTTTTTCATTGGCAGTTTTCTCTTCACTAAAGGAGATGCTACACTTCCCTGGGCCACTTCCCCAATGTGTTTTTATTACCCTTTCATTCAAAAGCCCACCCATACCTCTCCCTATGACTGATTGGAGAGAGAGCTTTATAACCGTATGTGTGCAGCCTTAATTGCAATCAGGTGTCTACATTAGCCTAACAGCTTCAAATTACTCTCTGCAGGTTAACTGGAGGCAGGTAACCACCTGGAGACAGCCTGGAGTAGCGTTTGATCTGGATTATGCTAAACAATGATAACAAGATAACAGAAAACTATTTATCCAGTGACCAGTATGTCTGCCTTCTACTACCCATAGTACCCAGCTAGCCTGGGTCTCTCACAGTACACAGGTAGATTTTTTTCAAGTGTAGAAATGCCAATGTAAACATTGCTTACACAACTTCAACTCATGTGTACATGCATTATTACAGTCTTCAATTATATGATCACATACTATTCAGAGTACCTATAACTCATACTGTGTGAGGATGGACAGTACTCTATAAATGAGGTACTTTTTAATATCTGTTTTTAATCTTCATTGTTCAGCTGTGTCCTCAAGCCAATTGCATTGGACACTATGCAGATTCCAAACAGAAAGAGGTGTGATTTCTTCTTCCTGACTGATTCATTGCATACTAGTCAAATTCTATGAATAGGCACTACATCTCCAGAAACATAGCTCAATTACTAGAGACTCCTGCCTTATTCAGGGTCTTAATTATATATCACAAGAGACAGCAGTCAATAATCATACATGAAGTTGAACGTCTCTTCCTTGATTAAATAATGTATGGCAGAAACATTTGGTGCTAGTCTTGCATTAAGCAGCATGATACAAAGAGCAGAGAGTCCAAAGCCAATGCCTTGAGTTCTCAAGATGAAACCTCTAGAGGGATGGATAGGATTGAAATTATTTTACTAATGTCCTATGTCTGAAGACTCTTCCGTATTCCTCATCTATTCCATATTAGCATTATTTTTATCTTATTTATTATTTGTATGGTACCAACAAGGTTTTTGGAGGTTTATAAGCAGGTACAAAAGCAAGTTTACTGCTCCAAAATGTTTATGATCCATACTGACAACATATAGACATAGAGAGAACAGGAATTGACAAAAGAAGAGTGATTGGCTTGTGAAGTTTTAATAGACATCATAGGAATCAGACAGCTCAAGTCCAGAAACAATTATCTCTTCCTCCCTTCACATACCCAGCTCATCACTGCATTGTTTAGTCATCTCAATCATTGAAAAGATATAGCAGTCACAGCTGTGTTCTTAAGGAAGTACCTCCAGGACAAAGATCTAGAAAGCTTTACAGAACATATATATACACTCCATATCAAAAGGCTCCCAATCAGATGAAAAAAAACCAACCCTTCAATCCCACCTCCAGATACTGAGGAACCCTTCTATCAGTTACTCCAGTTGCCAAGACCAGATAAGGGGAAATGTGTGGCTAAAGTATAGTGCTCAACTCCTTTGGTTCTCCTGCCATTCAATACAAATTAACTATAAAATCCAGAAAACCCTTCACCAGATACAAATACTCTTAAATAAGAAGAAACAACGAACACTATTGTACCTATAATGGAAATTAAATATACACAAACAGAATCTAATTGATAATACTCAATAAACCATCCTCATTCCACCCATCCCACCTCAACAAGCCACTCCACAGTTACTTTAAAACCTAGTAATATCTATGAGTAGCTCAAATGGCTCTTTGCAATGTTCCCTGCCTTGCACATGTTCAACATGACATTCATGTACAGGCAGTCCCCGGGTTACGTACAAGATAGGGACTGTAGGTTTGTTCTTAAGTTGAATTTGTATGTAAGTCGGAACTGGCTTCCAGATTCAGCCGCTGCTGAAACTGACCGCCAGTTCTGACTTACATACAGATTCAACCTACAGTCCCTATCTTGTACGTAACCCGGGGACTGCCTGTACATGAATGTCATGTTGAACATGTGCAAGGCAGGGAACATTGCAAAGAGCCATTTGAGCTACTCATAGATATTACTAGGTTTTAAAGTAACTGTGGAGTGGCTTGTTGAGGTGGGATGGGTGGAATGAGGATGGTTTATTGAGTATTATCAATTAGATTCTGTTTGTGTATATTTAATTTCCATTATAGGTACAATAGTGTTCGTTGTTTCTTCTTATTTAAGAGTATTTGTATCTGGTGAAGGGTTTTCTGGATTTTATAGTTAATTTGTATTGAATGGCAGGAGAACCAAAGGAGAAGTTGCCTGTCACCAAGTTACCCCCTGTGGTTCAAATTACAGCTGCAGAGCAGCTCTGCAATCTGGGGCAGGAGAATTTCTCTTTATAGAGTTCCTCAGTACTTACTTCACTAACTTGTGCTGCATGCTTGGAAAAAGCTTTTCAACACTGGACCTGGGCTTGATCCTGTGAATGTTGACCCTCCCTTTTGTTCCTGAAATAAAGTTCAGTATAATGAATTACTCTTTCCACATTTAGATAAGTATATTTTGATGCAATCAAATCAGGCCATCTGCTGCAAGATTAATTTGTGTTTCTTTCACTTGCGTGGATTCTCTGAACAACTGAGCAAATCAGTGAATAAGAGTTGGCTGTAATGTACTTGGAATTTCAGAATATGTAAAAGTGTCCCTTTTATGTAGGGCTGGATATTTTATACAGATGTCTGGCAGGTATAGCTTTTAAGAATGAGATGCTGATACTCTTAGTCACATTAGATGATAACTTACTTCCCAAGTAGTCCCATTGATTTTCATGGGACTACTTTTGGAATAAGAGAGGCATCCGGTCCTGTTGTGGACCAGACAATGCTCCCAAATTGGAGGGGATTCCCTGGTTTTGAAGGCTCAGCTGGAAAAGGAACAGTTTGGCTGTGTCTAGACTGGCAAGTTTTTCCGCAAAAGCAATTGCTTTTGCACAAAAACTTGCCAGCTGTCTACACTGGCCGCTTGATTTTGCGCAAAAGCACTGATGTTCTACTGTCCAAAATCAGTGCTTCTTGCACAAATGCTTTGATGTTCCCGTTCGGGCAAAAGCCCTTTTCCGGAAATGTTTTTGCACAAGAGGGCCAGTGTAGACAGCTAAAAACTGTTTTGCGCAAAAAAGTCCTGATGGCGAAAATGGCGATCGGGCTTTCTTGCGCAAAACCGCATCTAGATTGGCACTGACGCTTTTCTGCAAAAAGTGCTTTTGCGGAAAAGCATCCGTTAAAAGCATTTGTGGAAAATCATGCCAGTCTAGACGTAGCCACTCTGTTTTGATATGCCATCCCAGCTCCTCGGTTCCAATCACATTTTTTTTTCAGGATCACTTCTATCACTTCTTCCCAACTTCTGGGCCCCTCTTCTGTTTTATCCCTGACTAGCTTGCATGCTCTTACCATCATGATGACTTTATCATTAAACTTTCCAGAGCTAGTGACTTTATCATGAAACTTGCCGGAACTTTCTACACCAGGAATTTAACTCAACATTGTTATTCTAGCTCTCTGATGACATAACTCTCTTGAAATCAGAGGTAATACACTGACAAAAACTTGAATAACACAGTGATGATCCCGCAACTAAGTCTTCATATTTTCCTTTAAATGGCTTTGTAAAACTCCTAACCTGCACAATAATCTAATAAGAGAATAAATCCTTAGCCTCTACTTAATGGTAATAGATGTTGGAGCCTAGCAGTATGGTTTCCGTTGGAAGACAAATCAGTTATGCAGAGATTGCATATTTCCTAGTCATGTTGTTTATTTTACATTATATATGGCAGTCCTTGAATACAGGTGGTCATACATAGCATTCTGGATAACCTCCCTTTCAGAAATCTCAGGCAAACACCAGAGCCAACTCTGTAGCAAAAACTGGTTCTGGTTAGAGTAAAGCAGAAAGCAGACACTCTTGCTATGTGCAACAACTCCCCACACAAGAAATGACATCACAAAAGTAACACCTGTATAGGAGGTATTAAAAAACTGCTCAAAGGATACTAAGAAGAATGCATAAAATTACACATAACAGTACCACCTGGTGACTTCCACCACTATACTATATTAAAAACTAGTTATAGGAAATGGAGTAAAAATAAATGGCTGTTCCTAAGATTGGTGAAAAATAAAGTGTGAGATATCTCAAGGGTAGTATGACAGAATGCTATCAGAAAACAAAGGTGATTCAAGTAATGCAATGAGCTTATTTTTCTTAGGGACAGGGCATTCTATTTTCTGCTCCTAACACTTCTAACCTGCTAATTCAAGAAACAAGAAATCTGAATGCACATCCCTTGTCTCCAGTACAAAATGCAGTCACTACAATAATTCATCAGACCAAATCATGTTCTTGTTTCACAATTCTGAAACTTGCCAGGAAAAATGGTTGAATTGTTTTCACCGTTCTAAAAATGATTCACTGTTCACTTTTCTCCTGATTTATGAAATACCATCTGTTTAAAAAGTAACTTAAGATGCAATATATTATAGAATACTATAGCTATGCATTTTTGTGAGAGATAGTTGTACAGTAAATTAGAAGCATTTAATCCATCATATATAGAAATAATAATTTTTAGATAGTTTTCTTCCTGAATTTGTGATCCAAATTGGATCCTAATCCAAAGCCCACAGAATTCAGTGGAGAGCCTGCCATTGACTTAAGTGGGGCTTGGATTAGGCCCATTAGGGTATGTCTACACTACAAAGTTAATTCGAACTAACAGCCGTTAGTTTGAATTAACTTTAATAGGGGCTACACATGCAAACCGCTTAATTCGAACTAGGTAAGCCTCATTCTATGAGGAGTAACACCTAGTTCGAATTAAATAGTTCGAATTAAGGGCTGAAGGCTAGCCCTTCCCACTCTGGGCCAAACCAGGAAAACTCCTCTCCTCTCCCCCACCCCTGGGCCCCTTAAAAGGGTAGACTCAGGCCAGATGGCACTTGCCAGAGCCAGCCCTGCCAGCAGTCTCTGCCCCAACCCAGTGGCCCCAGGATGAGCCAGGCAGCCAATGACAGCCAGCCGTCCCCCGCCCAGTCCCCCAGCACTGGGGGGCCAGCCAGGGGCCGTACACGGCGCGCGCCCTCCTAGATTAGTGCGGAGGTCATGTACCTCATTGAGGTTTGGGACCAGGCCCCCAACATCCATGATCGCTGCACTAGGAGGAGGAACACAGCTGTCTACGGCCGCATAGCAGCCACCATGGCCCAAAAGGGACACAGGTGCACCGAAGAGCAGGTGTGCCTGAAAGTTAAGGAGCTGTGGCAGGCGTACGCCAGGGCCACCAGGGGCGGTGCCACAGCAGGGGCTGCCACCTGCCTCTACTTCCCCATCCTCGACAAACTCCTGGTGGGCGGGGCGGTTCGCACCAGCCTGGGAGGCAGTGAGCAGGGACCAGAGGGCCCACTGCCAGCTGTTCCAGCACCAGAGTTGGCAGGGTCGTCCACAGTTGCCCTCACATCACGGGGGAAGGGAGGCTGGGCATCATCCCCTGTGTCCCCAGGGAGAACTGACCACTTCTCTTCTTTCTCTACAGCTGCACCAGCTGCTCGTGCAGGGTGCACCACCCTGCCCGGGACATGCTCCCGCACCCGCGGCCTGCTCCGGACCACCACCACGCGTCAGGAGTACTGGGACCAGAATCTGGAGGCCCTGCACCGCACTGTCGAGGCCTGGATGTGGGAAGACCTGCAGTTCCTCCGGAAGCAGCTGGCTGAGGACTGAGCCAGAAACGCTAACCTGCAGGCCCTGCTGCAGAGCATGTTGCCCTGTGCCGGTCCTGTGCCTGCTGCCCCCCCAACAACTGTCCCTCCTACCACTCCTGCCCCCCCTCACCTCTTCCTCCTCAACTTCCACACCCTCCTCCTCAATGTCCACACCCCACACCTCAACCTCTGCACCCTCCACCCCATCCCCCTGGGGACGCTGAGGCCCCTTCCCTTGCCATGCTGGGAGACGGTTGGCCCGGCGAGACCCCCACGCCATATTCCTGAGTTCCCCTCCCCCTTCTTCCTCTTGCTTTCCCCTTCCAGCTCCCTCCTCCCAGTTTTCCCCCTCCCCCTCCCACCGTCTCTCCTGCCCTCTCCCACCTCCTTTCCCCCATCTCCAGAAGCAAGTTCGCATGAAAATAAAGTTGGTCTGGCCATATTCCTGAGTTCCCCTCCCCCTTCTTCCTCTTGCTTTCCCCTTCCAGCTCCCTCCTCCCAGTTTTCCCCCTCCCCCTCCCACCGTCTCTCCTGCCCTCTCCCACCTCCTTTCCCCCATCTCCCCACAGTTTCATTCCCCCTCCCCAGTTGTGTTGAATAAAGAGAGTTGTTATTTTTGAAAATACATGTCTTTTATTTTAAATCAAGAAGGGGGGGCTAGGGAAAGGTAAGTGGAAGGACAAGAGGGAGGAATGGGGCACAAGCCCCCAGTGGGGCATACCGGGGAGACTGTTAGTGCTCCTCAGGGTTGAAGCTCTCCCGCAGGGCCCCCTGGATCCTGACATCCCCTCAATGGTCCTCCCGGATGGCAACCTGCAGTCAGTGCAGCCAGGCTGCTGGCAACATGTCTACGAGAGGCAGCAGAGTCTCCGGGGGCAGGTCTGGTTCCATGTTGCAGAGTGCTGTGGTGCCCTGAGTGAGGGTAAGCAGAGCACTCTGAGACACAAATGCTTTGCTGTCTCTCAGCGAGGTAGACCAGCAAGCAGGGAAACCTGAGAACTGTCTGTCCAAGATGGGGGTTCAGGTCCCTTAAAGCATAGCCCTCAGCTAGTCTGAGGCAGCAGCCCCACACACTAAGTCCAACCCTGATGTCCTGCCAACACTGGTTCTGGCCAGCCTTACCTTCGATTCAGGGTCCACTCAATGTGGACATGCTATTTCGAATTAGCAAAATGCTAATTTGAATTAGTTTTTAGGTCTAGATGCACTAATTCGAATTAGCTTATTTCAAATGAACTAATTCCAATTAAGTTCGTTAGAATTAGCGCTGTAGTGTAGACATACCCTTAGAGTGTTGTCTGATGGCAAAATTCTGCTCAGTACCAGACATAATTTTAGTAGTGACTGCAATCTGCATGAAGCCTTTTCCACCCAATAAATAAACAAATGTGTGAGAAGATCATGCTGGTGATAAAATTGATAATTTACCCAGAAAAATGGCTGGGTTTTAAGTTCATATATAAAGGCAGATTTAAAACTAATTTTCAGTACTTCTGCCTGAGAAGTAAGGTTTATAATGCCTCCAGAGTAATAATAAATAATAATAAAGACTAATAGCATTTTTGACAAGGAAATTTGAGAAAATAAGAACAGCAGTTGCAGAAATGACTGGTAAAATTATTTAATTGACACTAAACTGAAGATATAGGGTTAGACAAAATGCATAATAGGGAAATGATGGATGAAGCCTTTGAGTGTATAAAGAGGCTTTCATCTATTTCTGATTCCAGCAAAAATGAGTAGATTATTTTACAACATGACTTGACAAATAGATGCAAGAATTATGCTGATAAAAGAGAATAATAGTCACAAGTTAAAATACATTGTTCCAAATACATTTGAGAGGGACTTGTAGAAAAAATGCTCTCAAAAACTAGCAAAATTGATGCATGTTTATTATAATGCTGCTTGAATCTAGTTTTTCACGCCTTTGTCCTTTTATTTTAATAACACAAAGAAAACATTTTGTGTCAAACAATAGTTTCAAAGTTAGAAATGAAAGTAATTGATGAAGACTAGAAAATGTCAGTAAAAATGCTTCCTTCATTGGAGAAGTTAAAATAAAAGGCACTTTGCAAAAATTATCTTGCTACTTCCCAGATGCTTTTACAGATTTATCTAGTCAGAATTTTAAGGGTCATGCAGGCCTTGGCTGGGAGAATATCCACAGTAAGTGACATGAAGTGTTGAATAAGATTTACAAAGTTTACTCTTCACATTGATGTGCAGTCAGATTTAAACACTGGAAGGAATAACTACACCCAAATTATACATATAAGACTATAGAGTTAGGTTTTTACATCAGGGTTCTAGTGACATGTTTAAACTAATATAGCCCTGCTTTTCCTGTGACAGAGAGACTATAATTGCAAGTAAGTGGGAGATCTCGATCAAGATGTGACCAATTCCACTTTCCTGGATTTTACTACTTTCTGGCAAAAACACTACCTGTCAAACCTATGAGGGATATTGTATTTCACATTATTCAAACCTTCCTACTAGGTGTTTGTTGTGTCTATAGTTTAGCATACCCTATGGTCTGAAGAAGAGTGAGGTAGAGTCTAGTCTATTTTGTACAACAAAATTTAATTACCAGCTAAGTTCTGGTGAGGCAGAAAAGCTCTGTACTTTTCAGTTCTCAAAAAGATTTTGCGGGACCACTTGTTAGAAAACTCATTTTAAGCCTTTTAAACTGAGCAAATTTGATCATTGAAGGAAATTAAATTTGGAATCCTTGATGTTTTTATAGCCACTTTACTGATTATAAGCCATACTTAAGATTATGTATTATAGGTAATGGGGTGAATTTGTGTTATTTTTTCACAAAAACGTGAGAAAAAAGATCAGTTGCATTTAGTTGCAAAATGTCACCAAGCTATAGTCCAGATAAGAAATAACAAGAACATTTTTCTAAATATATTCCTCTCCCTTTAGCACTTTGAAGCTGTAGGTAAGTAAAATAACAGACTTTTCCTCCAGTTCCTTTTTCTCTGATGCTAGAGTAAGGGGACTGATTCAAAGGAATTTTAAAGGAAACCAATAATGTCTGGACTGAAGAGAGATTCGTGGGGCTCCCAGAGAAAGGGGGAAACGGCTGTGTTCTTGAATGCAGTAACAGATACTGTAATCGACAAGGATGTAAGTCTTATTAGGCAGCATAATATAGAGTCTTTTCCATTTAGTTCTGCTTCTGTACTTGATTCTCCAAAGAGGGAGCTGTGTTCAATTTACCCTTCCTTATTCTCAAACAACAACAAAGAACTTCTGAAGTTTCAGAAGAAAGATAGAAGGCAGGCCAGGCTGTCTAGAACAGAGCTCTTTTCACGGCTAGCCAGAGTGTCCAACCCAGGCGTAATGAAAGGTAATTGGCCAGGCTGTTATCTATCTGCAGCCCACATCTTGCTTCCAAATGCCTCTAATTGAATTGCTGTAATTTTTGCCCTTCCTAATGCAGTGACTTGGCGAGGGGAAATGACCCGGGGATGTGGGCGGCTCTCGATTCTCCCCTGGGAGAGAGACGTTCGGGCAAAGTTGCGCTGCTACCCATAAATAGCAGAGGGGGAGAGGGCTTGGGCTCAGAGGCAGTGCAGGCCCCCCCCTCCCCAACTCCATTCATCCCCAGAGCTCACAAGACACCGCGTCCCCTACACAGTGAGCGCACCGGGGCCATGCAGTGAAGAGTCCCAGCTGAGACCATCCAGTTCCCAGAGCAGCCTGCGGACAGCTCGCCGCCCCACTGCCAGCCAGGACTGACTCCGCGCAGTGAAGAACAGACCAGCGCGTCCCAACCCAAGGTACTTTCCTTTTATGTTGAACCTTTTGCCCTCTGGAAGGTGTTTAACTTCCAGGTACATGAAATCTTAGCCCCTGGACACCTTCCCTTCTGACTCCCCGCATTAGTGACGCCAGTGGCTATTAACTTGTATGCAGAGGTGGGAAGAGATTGCAAAAACTGATCTCCGGTCTCCATGCCCCAGCGCTCAGGTTCCGCCCCCGTCCCCAGAGTGTCTGACTTTGGGGATGTTACTGCTTTTTTAGGATTTGACATCCTCTGCCGCTCCTTCCTGATCTTTCAGATACACGGGACTCACCCCCGGATACAGAGTCTTCCTTCTCATAGGTTCCTCTTATTTGGATGGTTCTTACGGCATCAGGTTCCTGTGGGAACCTAAGTCAATTTCAATTCCCCCCGGGTCTCCCCTCCACACCTCTGGGATCCCAAACATTGCAACGCAAACCAAATAACCCCGAGCATTTGTGGTCTCTTTTCAGATGCAGAGGTGGACTAGTTTCCTGTTTCTCTCTCTAATCTTTTGCGCCACCCTCTCAGAGACATTTGGACTCGTTTTATCAGTAAGTATAACTTCCATTTCAGTTCTATTCATTGGACAGGTGTCTCAGTTGATATGTAACCTCTAACCTGACAGGCATCCTGGTTAGACAGGACTGATTAAAACAGAGCAAGTACTCGATAATATTCTGTATGTAATAGTGGATGAACAGTTGGGAATATTGGACATTTTAATACTCAACAACATGACAGAAGTGCTATAAAGTAGTTAAACAAAACAAGGATTAATTAGTTTTACAGTATATACTAAAGTTCAGTGAACTGCCAGATTGGAAGAATAACAAGGAATGTTTTTGCTTTACATACAGCATACAAAATATGAACATCTGAGACACAATGACAAATTGTATAAATCCAAGCAAATATCTAGTGGGAAATATTTATATGTTTCAGCAAAGCAGACTGGGAACAGATCATGTTTATTCTACTGTGTAAAGTTTAAAATGTATAATGCAATGTGTGATTTGCAATTTCATCTATGTAGGATCAAACTCCTGGTTACATTGCAGTCAGTGGCAAAACTTCCATTGACTTCAGTGTGGCCAGGATTTCACCCAACATGAAACAATATTTTTTGATAAATAAAACATATTAGCTCATTAGAAACACGAATGAATCCATTTGCACAAGTCAACCTCCCAGATTCATGTTTTTTTTTCCAGACAGTATTATGAGTATCATGCAATAAATAACCCATCTGCACTTTTCCCTCTAAAAGGCAAAAGAAAAGAGGGGCTGGACTTTGAATAGTGCTGGTTACCTACTTGGGCCACGTAAGTCAAATATTTAATTTTTCTATATTTAAAAATTCTGTTAAAATTGCCCCTTGTTGCCTATCGTATGGAACAATATATTACCCACTAATCTGGTTATTGCTGTAATTTTTGTTTGAACCTATTTACATACAATTGAAGGGTTTTATTTCAGAAAACCTTTAGTTAGTTACATATATGAAGCCTGGGATAGAAAGTTTTAGAATTTAATCTTCTTCAAAAGCAATGTCATGTAAAGGCTCTAGATTATATGGAATTACACATTTAATCATTTTTACAGAGTTCCTTAGTGCTATTGGGTTGTAATTTTTAGGTGGAAAACATCTTATTTCTCTAAAATGCACTGTAGTAGCTTTATACAACTCAGTAGTTTAATAAAAAAACATTAATTTATAGACTCTAAGGGCATTTGCCTTGGAAAGCACTTATAACATTATATGGAATTTTGGCAGTCAATCAAGTGGGAAGTAGTTTAATAAAAAACATTAATTTATAGACTCTAAGGGCATTTGCCTTGGAAAGCACTTATAACATTATATGGAATTTTGGCAGTCAATCAAGTGGGAAATGCTATGGGTGAAATTGGGCCCCAATTTTGCCACTGAAGGGGCCAAAATTTTACCCCAAATCTTCTTGAAAGTGCTCAAATGTATAGTCTTCTGATATTATTCTTAGACAAACCAAAAACTTGCTGAGGTTGTAAATAAATACCAGCAACTTAAAAGAGGACAATACTTCATTCCATTTTGTAATTAAAAACAAAACCAATGTCTGAGAGGCTGAAAATTTAAAAGTTTAGGCTTCCAAAAAAGTATGGAGAGGAAAAGTAAAGATAGATAAAAATAGTTTTAAAAGAAGGATTTTTAGCCTGATTTAACATTAGTCATTTATTTTTACAGCAGGTTTTCAAGATGCTAAGAGACATAAAACGTACAGAAGTGTATACTTACCCTTTACTACTTTTTACGTTAAATATTACCAGGAGTTGCAATATGATAAACATTATGGATAAGTGATACTGCTCTCCATATAAGGACCATAATTGTCTTTTTTCCTTTATTACTCACTTTTTGTAACTGACCTTGGGATAACTAAACAGATTTTTGCATCTTTGATGTATTTATTGGATCTGTAAAATGTTTGAAGGTATATTTGCCTTCAAGTAGCAATGCCAGAGTAGACTTTGTTGAAAGACATACACACCATTCTCTAATGGGGGAATATACTTGCGCAGTGCCATTTTTCCTAAGACTGGGTAATAGGCATCATCCTCTGTTGCAGGTTGTGTTGATCAGCTTTTACTGATAAAGGAAATACCCATTGCAAGGGGGAGAGAAGAGGCACCTGGGGAATGTAAGATAGTTTACATGAATAACCTCCAAAAACTAATTGCAGTTTACTTTAAAACAAGTTACTTAGCTTAAAAAAAAAAGCTAAGAGAGTAGCAAAACCACATTCAGTAGGAGTTTGGGAGTGCAAGCAATAAAGAACTGTGTCCTTACTGGATATAAACTACATACACAACATTACAAATGCCTTCTTTAATTCAGAAATAAACTTATTAAAATGATTTTTACTCACTAATTGTACATCATTTAATCAACTCTCCCATCATCTTCTCATGTACAAATGAAAAGGTGGCTATAAAGAGAGGTGCTTTTAAATCTTCTTGAGCTAGTTCAGTAAAATCCATGACAATCAGAATGGAGATTGTAAACTAAATTAACTTTTCACCACTAATTCATTTAACAGACGCAGTAGATAATCACAGATCTTTTAATGACAAACATGGCCTAGCTGGTAAACGTGAGATACAGCCTGAAGAGGATATGAAAACAGGTAATGAAATTATAAAGCTAAGAGATTATGTGCTTCTGTATATAGCATTTTATTTACTACATTTGAGTTATTTACTGTCTACAAGCAAACTTAAGCTTCCATTTAAGGGGACAAGGTACTTAACATACATGAATAGGCCTACTGAAGTCAAGGAAAGCAAAATTTGGCTCACAGACATCAGAGTTTGGAGATCATGACCTCAGTTACTGATATCCTGCCTCGTAATGGTTTAAAATGCAGAGTCATATATTGGCTGTCAGGCTTTTGAGTTGTCTTTATTTTGTCCAAATTAACATATTTAACTATAACACTTAAATTTTTTCTTTATATAGGTTCAAAACAAAGCTTTCCAAGTCCTATCAGACCCTTAAGAGTCCTCACTGATTAGCTTAGGACTGTGATCAGTAAGGAGCAATATTAGGAAGATTTTACTTTAGGGAATGTTTGGAGACACCTTTTATCATATCAACGTAAAAATGAAAGCTGTTCTCGATCATGCTGTTTGGAGCTGGTTTTTGAAAAACAGATTTCATAACCCCACCCTAACCATAATTTTATACTTTCCCCACAATTAAACAAGAACAGTTGTTTCCGTGAGGGGACTTAAGGTCTGACTCAAAGCTTAATAAAGTCATTAGGAGCTTTTCATTTATTGCAATTGATTTTAGAACAAACCTTTGTTTCTGAGAGGCGCTGAGCATTCGTAGCAGTGAGATCAATGGGAGTTGTGAGTACTCTATACTTCTCAGGATCTGATCTTTATCTCCCCTGTTTTATAACCCTTATTTGTACTATACAGGCAGTCCCCGGGTTACGTACAAGATAGGGACTGTAGGTTTGTTCTTAAGTTGAATTTGTATGTAAGTCGGAACTGGTACATATTGTAGGGGAAACTCTAGCCAAACATTTCTCCAGAGCTCAGTTTTATTCTCCCACACCTCACTTCCCTCAGGCCTTTATTCTCAAGCAGTGCGGAGTTGCCTTACCCCGTTTGTAAGTAGGGATCTGATGTAAGTCGGATCCATGTAACCCGGGGACTGCCTGTACTTCATCTAATGGTAATGGATCGAAATTCAAAAAGGGTTGCTGCACATATTCTTGCATCCATGGACATCCTAAAACATTTGTTTTTATTCTGACTAAATTCCTATGTATTGGCATGCAAAATGTTACTTTGTTCAAAATACGTTTTTTTTTCTCTAAGCAAATATTTAGACCAATACAAAAACCACTTCCTTTCTTAGTATATCTGAAACTTATTTATTGAATTAAAAAATCCTGAGATTGTACTCCTAGATAAAGGGTGAATGATGCCAGTAACAGCTGGAGAGTTTTTACAGCATCAAACTTTGGTTTTAGTTGCCATTTATTGGGGTGTCTTATTTTAAACACTTTTTATAGAATTTACAATATCAACTTGGAATAGTTATATACATACTATATTTGTGCGTATGATAGAGTCAATGAGGAGCTAAAGCAGGTACTCAGCTAGCAGTTATTAACGGAAACTCTTAAACATTGACATAACAACCAACTCCCACTTGATTATTCATAATTAAACAGAACTACAGCTTTAGCAACAGGTAGCTTTTGCTTTATCAAATTATAGTTTCATAGCTAGCTCACACACAACACGAGCATGTTAAGGTAGCAAATGCCGTGAAATTCCCATTAATGTTTCCTCTGAAGTCTTCCATTGGGAAAAGAGGACATACCACCCTCTTCTTCCCTCCCCCAAAGGGTGCAAATGTGGAGTCTCTATGCTGCTACATAATCTCTAGCCCTGATACTTGGTACCATGGCTGAGGCCTCCCTTAAAGGAAGAGATTCCACATGACAGAGTCAGGTGCATGTGTGAGTTTTCGGTTACAACCTATTGGTCCACTCAGGACCGACTCTTGTCTACACATTCTTTGCCTGTTCCACTCACTGCTTGCTTCCTTCTAATCTGCACAGATCTCCAGACACACAAATAGCTCTTAATGGGATTCAGAAGAAGTCTTGGGAGTTGTTGTGATTCTTTTCTGTATAGCGAGGGACTGACCCATACATAGATGGAGCTCTATGTACAGATCAAAAGGACTTGATCTAGTTTTCTCCTCTGTTAGGGAATCTCAAAATGAGATTCATTTCTTACTCCAATCTAGAGAAGGCTGATAGTACAACGCTGAGCACACAAACAACTAACAGGGGAAGGTAAGAGTCCTGCTCCAAGGAACTTATAAACTAATTCAAACCCTCACAGTACAATCGAGACATATCTAATAGTCAGCAAAGGTCCAAAATTCAGGTAAGGTTTTTTGCTTATTACTTATTAGTGAGAGAACATCAATAGGTCTCCCATACACTGTGAAATTCTGCTGAAGATAATTAGTTAATTTCTGTTTACGGTTGTATAGAAAAAATTTGAATGGTTTCCTGAAATGTTGGTGACTAGCAAAGCAGATATACATTACATTGCTACTCTGAAGTACTGATGAAAGGGACAGTGGGTGCACTCTGACCTAGTTATATTTCTTGCTGACTTACTCTGTTTTCCATCTGTGGATATGCAGGCAGTTCCTCTGTAGATACATGATCTGGAAACTATACGTTGTGGCTTCTTGTATGGTGATGAGTACCCTCAATTTCTAATTAAGTCACCCCAAGTTGATAGGTCTCAGCAGAATGGGATCTAAAGACTGTAACTTAGTTTCTGTTATAAACCTCCTTCCATCAACTCTGAAAAATCTCCTTTGCACCTGAATTTTCACATGCAGACCTTATTCAATTGAGGCATTTTTTTTAAAAGTTTCACTGGAATTAAATAAGATATTTTGAAATACAACATTTTGAAAAAAATTGTTCACTTGTGGAATGTAGTAGCTTCTTATAAAGTTGTCTTAAAATGGAAATTGTTTACATGTTCAAGGAGAACTAATATAGCAGACTATTTTTAATCAGATTGAGTGAATAAATTTGGACCTATTTTCTTTGGAACTCTGAGACTCTAAGGTCTCTGCAGATATAAACTTCTTGACTGGTGCTGCAAAATGTATAAGCTTCACAGACAGCCCTGTAGGACTTTGCAAGCCCTGTAAGCCAAATATCCTGATGGTTACTTTAACTTGTATTAGTACAGAAGCTGAAGCAGTTCCAGAATCAAGAACCTGTAACAAGCTCCTCGATGTCATTCCTTTCTTGTACCAAACATGTTTCAGTTCAGGAGAGAATCTGGCCCTAAGTTTTTCCACTGTATTTTTAAAATGAAATGTAATTCCACAGATTTTTTTTGATTTCTTATAGTCACCATTGTGACTAAAGCTATATCAGCAAATATTCATACTATGTGTATGTTAAATAATATCGAATAAATGTTTCCTAGGTAATTTTGGGAGACCAGTGGCTGATGACAATGTTGTACGCACAATCATTGAATTTTTGACTTACTTGCAACTTAAAGGTTAGTAAAGCTTTCAATCATTTGAAAGTACAGTTAAAGTTTCATTTCATAGTCACTGAGGATCTGCTTCTGTAATTCTTACTTGGACAAAATTCTAGAATAAGAGCTGCAGTACTGGAATTGAATATATAATTGTAGATGCTTTTTGAACTGGCAACTTTCTCGAGCGTCACTGGAGAATGGTTTTCATGATGTTTGACATAACTCCTAGAACAAAATATGCTGAAATGATATCATTGAATAATATATTTATGAATAATTGTTTGACATCTGGAAGAAACTATTTAGAGCCTTTTCCCACAAAACACTTATGCAGGTATTTAAAGTTCAGCATAAAGTAGCATCACTGAAGTATGATAATTATATGACTAAAGATTTAAGGATCCAGATGCTAGATTGTAAGCACCTAGGTGCTGGTGCCGTCTATCTTTTCATTATACATTTGTACAGTGCCACACACAAAGGGGACCCAGTACTGCTTGGAGCCTTTAGGTACCATCAGAATATCAGCTACAGATAAAACTGAACGAGCTTTAACAGAGCCTATATTTTTAACTAAATAAAAGGAGATTTAAGTTTATCATTATCAAGTTGCTTTACATTTGTATAAGACCGTGACAAAGGAAACACATTTTCCTTCCATTTGAACATTGTGATGAAGTCATTTCCCTGAAACTGTGACATCACTCACCTGTGTGGCAACAAAGTCTGGCAAAACTTCCTGTCAAATCTTGGAGAATGGTCTATGTAGGACCAGCAGGATTGAGACCTTTAAGGATCCCTAATTAAGGATTATGGCTTTATTATAGCATCAAGCTGGGGAAAACCTGGTGAATTCTACCCCTATTATAATTTTGAAGTTATTGGTGAATTTTTAGAAATTTTCAGGCAAAGTAAATTGATTTATTAAATACACCTCTTTTAAATTTTCAACCAATATAGAATTACTCCTTTCAACTCTGCTACATTAAAAACATTTAGAAAGTGATTTGCATTATGAGAGAAATAGGAAGATTAAAGGCCTGTATTATAATTGCAAGAAGCATGATGAATCTTTCATTCTACCTTTGAATATATTTAATTATAAACACTTTCATAGCAGTTAATTTATTGTTAGATAAAAGTACAGGTCTATTTTTTTTAAAATTAATATCCTGGAATGATAGCAAAGAATTGTATGTTACATTTGTGTTTTATTAATTACTTTTGAAAAGATATTCACAATGATCTGTTAACTTGGAGATTATATGAATCTTGTATATTAAGCTCTGGACAGTTTTGGCATCACTTTATAAAATAACCTATGATGTTTCACCAAAATCCTCACTGAGAATATTATAAATATTTAAATACAACTACAGTGTTATCCAAACTACATTGCATGTGCTATAAAGACTATGTTTGTTGAATGGTAAAGTTAAGGATCTTTGAACAGTACTATCATTTTCAGGGAATGCGAATAGTTCAACAGTACATCCTCTGGCACAAAAATCTTAGTCCAAAGGCAAACCTTTCTCAAGAGTTTTGAAACCCAACATATCCTTGCTTACCTGAATCGAGCATGTTGAATAATTATACAGTCAACATTAGGGGAAACGGAAAATATTTTCAAGATCTCTAAATGGTCAAGGTAGGACAAAACCATGTTTTGCATAACAGAGTTTTCCAGATAACTCTGGTTTTGCTATATAAGAAAAACATTAATTTAGATTAACTACACAAAAATCCTTTTTGAAAAAAATTTACATTTTAACAGAAATATCTAATATGCAAAACTGGGGCCCCAATCAAATATACTAATTTTTGAGAAGTAGCTTGCAGAGTGTCACCCATTAAAATCAATGAGTCTGTTTGCAAAGTGAGTTTATGGTCTCTGCAGGCTTAGTTGCAATTATGCAATGGTTCTGATCTCTGAGGTAGGAGGGGGTGGTTCCATTTTTTATCCCAATTCTTGCAGAGCATGTTTACTTAATTTATATATGAATACAAATATTTTTCCTTCAATATTTTTACTCATCTGTTAGATTATGTGGTTTTAAAATAACATTGTTTAATGTTTACCCAATGCTCTAGAAATCACCAAATTCTCCCAATCTTTGAGTGCTATTCCACCCTGTTAACTGAATAATGAACATCTGTCCAAATCCATATTTACAGGGTAGCCACTTGAAATAACTACTGATTGACACCTTATTTAGCCACCCATGGGCTATTCCCAAATGAGGGAGTGGAAAGTCAGTATTGTCTTATTTTGCTGTTCTCAGTGAATTCCCCCCACAAGTTGGAGGTTGGGATCAGCAGTAACAGCATGAACAGCTTGAGAGCATAAATGGCGCAGGGAGGATGGCTCTGGAACATCCATAATCAGGGGTTTTGACCGTTTCTAAGGCTATTAAGAAGCAGATAACTGATTAATTGTATCAGAGGGGTAGCCATGTTAGTCTGAATCTGCAAAAGCGGTGAGGAGTCCTGTGGCACCTTATAGACTAACTGAAGTATTGGAGCATAAGCTTTTGTGGGAAAAGACCCACTTCGTCAGATGTATGTCTGCATTGTGTAGTCAGTACAATTTGTATCAACTACATGATTAGTCAGTAAGGGGCCCTGCTGCAGCTCTGCAATTTCAATGTAGTAGGAGCTGAGCGTGCAGGCAGCCCAGCTCTTACTACAGTTAAAATGCAGAGCCACAGCAGGGATAGGTTTGAAACCCGTCCGGGACTGAGCAGTTCCAGCTTGCACTGGGTCCTGGACCGCTGCACCTTTGCCTTGGCTTATCAGATAGTCAACTACTCACTTACATCCCTAATCATCTCCCCAAACAAATCATGTGAAGGAAAATGCAAGTTACTGATGATGAATTAGAGTTCCCATTCATGGAGGGGAGATGGGTCAGAAATTGGGGGGACCATCATAAAATCAAATCAGTATCTTAGGGTATGTCTACACTACCCCGCTAGTTCGAACTAGCGGAGTAATGTAGGCATACCACACTTGCAAATGAAGCCCGGGATTTGAATTTCCCGGGCTTCATTTGCATAAACTGGGCACCACCATTTTTACATCCCTGCTCATTCGAACCCTGTGCCGCGCGGCTACACGCGGCACGAACTAGGTAGTTCGGACTAGGCTTCCTAGTCCGAACTACTGTTACTCCTCATTCCACGAGGAGTAATGGTAGTTCGGACTAGGAAGCCTAGTCCGAACTACTTAGTTCATGCTGCGTGTAGCCGCGCGGCACGGGGTTCGAATGAGCAGGGATTTAAAAATGGCAGCGCCCAGTTTATGCAAATGAAGCCCGGGAAATTCAAATCCCGGGCTTCATTTGCAAGTGCGGTATGCCTACGTTACCCTCCTAGTTCGAACTAGCGGGGTAGTGTAGACATACCCCCAGTGTTTTGTATACAAATGCAAGAAATATGGTGAAAAATCAGGAAAAACTTGAAGTAGTTTCATAGAGACTCGGTGGAATAATACACATGACTGGAACATTGGTATAGAAGGCTACAACTTGCTCATGAAGGATAGGCAGGAAAAAAGGGCAGAGGTGTTGGGGAACTTTAACTATCCAGACATCTGTTGAGGAAAATAATGCAGCAGGGCACAGATTATCTAACAAGTTCTTGAAGTACATTGGAGACAATTTTTTATTTCAGAAGGTGGAGAAAGCTACTAGGGCAGTACTGTTCTAAATTTGATTTTAACAGAGAGGAACTGATTGAGAACTTGAAAGTGGAAGGTAGCTTCGGTGAAAGAATTCATGATTCAAAGGAATGGTAGAAAGGAGAATAGCAAAATAGATTCAATGGATTTCAGGAAGTCAGACTTTAGTAAACTAAGGGAGCTGGTAGCTAAGGTTCCCCGGGAAGGAAGACTAAGAGGAAAACAATTGAAGACAGATGGCAGTTTTTCAGACGGACATTATTAAGGCGCAAGAGCACACTATTCTGCTCCCTAGAAAAAATAGGAAGTGTGGCAAGGAACCACTTTGGCTTAATCAGGAAAACTTGAATTACCTAAAAATCAAAAAGGAGTCCTATAAAAAGTGGAAACTAGGACAAAATACAAAGGATGAATATAAACAAATAATGCAAGTATGCAGGGGCAAGATTAGAAAGGCGAAGGCACAAAATGAGCTCTACCTAGCTAGAGACATAAAGATTAACAAGAAAACATTCTACAAATATAATAGAAGCAAGAGGAAGATCAAGGACAGGGTAGGCCCCATTGTTCAATGAAGAGGGAGAAACAATAACAGAAAATGTGGAAATGGCAGAGGTGCTTAACGACCTCTTTATTTTGGTTTTCACTTTATTTTGGTGGTGACTGGATGCCTAACACAGTGAATGTTAATGAGAATGGGATAGGGTCAAAAGTTAAATTAGGAAAAGAAGTTAAAAAATTACTCAGAAATGGTAAAAGTCTTCAAGTCACCTACCCCCGATGAAATGCATGCTAAAATACTCAAGGAGTTGATAAAGGAGGTATCTGAGCTATTATCTATCATCTTTGAAAAGTCAGGGAAGTTGCTAGAGAGAGATGTGGAGAAATTGGAGAGGGTCTAGAGAAGAGCAGCAAAAATTATTAAAGGTCTAGAAAACATGACCTCTGGGGGACGACTGAAAGAACTAGGTTTTTTTAATTTGAAAAAGAGATGACAGAGGGGATAGGATAGCAACTTTCAAGTACCTAAAAAGGTGTTACAAGGAAGAGGGACAAAAATTATTTTCTTTAACATCTGAGGATAGGACAAGAAGCAATGGGCTTAAATTGCAGTGAGGGAGGTTTAGGTTGGACAGTAGTTGAACTTCCTAACTGTCAAGATAGCTAAGCACTGGAATAAAGTGCATAATGAAGTTGTGGAATCTCCAACACTGGAGATATTTAAGAACAGGTTAAATCGACATCTCTCAGAGATGATCTTGAGGGGTCAATCAAGGAATGGTGACTTTTTGAGTAATAATTACCTAGTCTGCACTTTGGGCCACACAGATAAATGCTCTTCCTTATTGTTCCAGTCTGCTTTGAGATTGCGCAAAAAGCAAATCCACTGGATCATATACAGTGGCTTTTCTGTAATGCAGAACGTGTGCTACAAAGCTGCAAAATATAATATTTTAGAATGTGATTCTACATTTTCAGCTAGAAATGGCTACCAGCAAGACCTTGATATGAATTTCTACACCAATTCAATATTTGATTTTTAAAAAATCTTAATTTTCACTCCAATAATAATGTAATATAAATGCTTTTACACATCTACTCAAATGTCAGTTTATTGCACTAAACATATTAATTTATGCATTTTCTTCCTCAAAATAACCCATTTTAGAGAGCAAAACGGTTTAAAACAATAATTGTTATTCAGATTATTCATCTGCCATCTTAAAGGAAAGGGGTATATTAAAATAACCCTCTCACAAGTGATATCTTGGAGATCACTATCACAATTGTCCTGTCTGGCTCTGGTTATGAAACTGGCTTGGTGCAGGGGTATGCCCACCCAGGATCAAACAATCAAACAATATAAAATCTTATAATACTGATATTCAGTTATATGAATCAAAACTTCAAGGCTGGCATGGAAGGGTTTTAAAAATAGTGTAAATTGTTATAGGAAGTTATTACTTATTAAGATGCAAAAGAAACATACCATGAAAAGTGTGAGCCTATTGCCTCATCTGTGCTTGACGGGAAGCAAAGTAAAAAAGTTTAGCAATCATAAGGTAGATTTTTAGGAATTAACTGTTAATATTAAACTGTGTACTTAGCTATTTGTTGCTAAAAATCATGACTGTTTTTCTTTTTCTCCTTTTGCAGAGGCTGGGGCACTAGACAATTTACTTTCATCAGAAGAAACAAATCAGTCCTGAAAAATAATGTATTTATATTTTGTTGTATTGTAAATTAAGACTGAACTCTAAACAGAGTTTTGAACGATCAGAAGATGGTGATTATTGTTTACATTACTCTTCTACAGAGTTACACATGGTAAACTACATTTTGCCCTTTTTGTTTTGTTTTTTTCTGTGATGTTACAATGTAAGATTTTGCCTTGATAAAAAACATTTCTTTAGGTAGATGGTAAAATAAAAAAGAGCAGCTGCATTTTGTTTCATTTCCTTTCAAATAGTGTTTTAAAATTACTTACACAAAGTGCACAATACATACTATATTAAATACATATTTAAGTATGTGATCCATCCTAGGCCTGAGCACTGTAGCTGTGTCAGCTTTACATCCCTCCCCCACCTCCGCCCCCCGGGTAGATGCAGCTACATCAACAGAAGAATGCTTCCATCAGTCTAGCTACCATCGCTCAAGGAGGTGGAGCTCTACAATGATGGAAAACCCCTTTTTGTTGCTATAGAAATCTTCTACAGTATAGTGCTACTGTGAAAGGAAGTATGGACTGAAGTGAAGATGTAATCCTCTTCCCCAAGATGATGGTTGCCAGATGGTTTAACCAAAAATACCGAACACCCCTCTTGCCCCCCTAAAAAACCACCGGGGAAAAAATTCTGTTGAAAAAAAAAAAGGGGGGGAGGAGACCAAAGTTGTTGAGAAAAAAAGAATCCTGAGAGCTATTATGCAAAAAAAAATTAAATTAATTTAAAAAAAAAAGACAGTGTGGCCCCTTTATGAAAGCTTTTGAGGCTTTTTGGCCCTAATAGGCTGCCGGCAACCATCCACCATCTTGTCTCCCTGCTCTGAGCCAGACAGCTCTCCTGTGGAACCCAGTAAGCACCTGGGATTTTCACCTCCTGGCTGGAAAAAAAAAATCAGAAAATACCAGACATTTTAGATCTCCAGTATTTTCTGAATTTTTTTTTAACCAGACAGGAGGTGAAAATACCGGACACCTGGCAACCCTACACAAGATGGAGGCAGGCTTTCTGTCTGCAACTCAATTACTACATACACCTCTGGAATGGATTTGATTTCCTAGATCAGTGTTTCTCAACAAGTGATACGAGTACCCTAAAGGGTACTTGAGAGAAGTCGGGGGAGGGTACATCAATACAACTGAAATTTGGAGAAAATGGAATTTTTGTTTTAAGTTTTACAGCGCCTTATTATTTTTGTACTTTTTACACCCAAAATTTTCATTGCCCGCCCTGCTACAAATAAGTTGTTTAAACAAATGTGTTGCAAATGTGATAGAAAAAAATGTGTATCTGAAAACTGTAGGTACTGGTGGTACTTATAATTATTTATTTTTTTTGAAAAAGGGGTACTTTATAAAAAAAAAGGTTGAGAAACACTGTCCTAGATCATTTATATGGTCTCTTCTCCAAGTGCACTCAGTGATAAGGGCCAGGGTAGAATCTCCTTCAATAACCACTGCATGGCCATTGTATCTACTTCAAACAACCTGCTGCATAAACTCACCCTGGGCCTTAGGAGTAGAGCCCTAGAATAGGAGAGGGTTCCTGCAGGTCCCACCGAACCTGTTGCCATAATAGTGGGAATAGGATATAAATTCAAGAAACAATGTGGGAGCAGGTAGTACTGGGAATGAGTATTGTGGGGCAGAAGGTAAAAAAACAACAAAGATAAAACAAATAACGCCAGTCTTCCTGCACTGCAAACAAAATGACCACTCTGACCAGCAGCCACCACTGTTCCAGCAGTCCAACTCTGAAGGTAATGCTGCTATCAGCTGCAGCATAGAAGTAAGGATGGAAAACATAGGGGTTTCCCATCCTCTTTGCATGATGATGCAGGGGCTCTTCTGTCATTTGCATGGAGGGCTATAAGTTTCAATCCCTTTGCATGGGGGAGATGCAGGGGCTGCTCATCCCCTTGTAGAGGTGCATAAGGACTCTGATCCATCTGCATGGGTGAGTTGGGCGAATCAGGAAGTTCCCAGGGAATGCAGGGATGGATGGGTACTGGTGAGGAGACATCTGCTGAGAGCAGCTGCTCCAGCCATTGCTGGGATAGTTCTAGAGCCCTGTGGTGGGACGGGACCCCACGGATCCTGCAGGACTCAGTGCCATAACAGCAGGAA